TAGTGAGTATGTGTGAAAAGCACATTCAGAGCATTCCAGCCAGGCCAAGCAGAAATTTAGTATGAAAACTCTCACACTTACAAACACACGCTGTGAGGGTGAGGCACAAACAGCATCTGTAGTTTTATATTTAATTTACTTTGGGTGAAAACAAGAAAGAAGAGCCCAACTACCTCTGAACACTGGGCCAGGCTCAAAATCAAACACTATTTCACTGGGGACAGAATGTAGGAGGGGACTGGGAGTCCGGGATTGGTATTTCCGAAGACAGCGCATCAGCTGGTTCAAAGGGGCTGTTAGAAGAGAAAGAGAGGGGCAGGCAAACACAGGAAGACAGACACACAGAAGAAATGAAAGAAGTCATGGGGAATAAATAAGATGAATCGAAGCCTGCTTTATAAAATAATTCTGGACGTTCAAAAAAAAAATCTGTTGATTTTCATAAAAACCCAATGAATTTTTAAAAAGTGACTCAAAGAAAGGACAAGAGATGCCACTTGATTTTAGGTACTAAGCAGGCTGTGTTTATCACTAAGTTAACTTTGTGATGCTAACATGATGGCAACATTTAAATGCTGGATGTATCGGGCAAAATTATCAAAAGCCACAGCTATTAAGACATACAAAAGTCAGACTGGCAGCAACAATTAATAGGCAGGTTCATGAAATAACAAACAGGAAAAAAAAAAAACTTGTATACTTATGTGCAATAGTCAATACTAAGTCCAGAGTATATAACGCAGGCTTATCATTATTTTGGTTACTTCCAGAAACATAATAAAAGATGGTTTACACAGTATTTACTGACTATAAAATATCTTTGAGTCTGGGCTTAAATATTTTGAAGATAAACGGTCACAGTGAAGGGATCAACTCTAAGCATGATAAGCAGTTATTACAAGTCTTCCTTATTGGATAGAATTCAGCTGAGAAGGCAAGTGCAGAGGACCACCTGGAAGAAAACTTCAAGATAGTCTCAAATACCATCTCTTGGAAAACATTATATGGAGTAATTCTTACAAAAAGTATTTTCTTAAGCAACTGTCTTATGTGCTAGAGTGAATACTAGATGAAAATTCTATAAGAAATATCAATTCAATTTCTCATCAGTTATTTTATTTACTAGACTAATAAGAGGGCAACTGAGCTTTTCTATTATGGGTCTATTCTATAAAATGTACATTTCAAACACTTCTAGAAAATTGGAGGGAAGTGGTTGATAACATATGACAAACAAAGAAGCTGTGGCAGGCAACCCAAGGGATTCCCTCCAAGAATGATTTCGCAAAGTCAAGTTTTATTTGATTCAAAGCTCAATCATTAAGTATCAGTGGAAGCCCTCAAAAGAAATTTAGCAATTCCAGCTTTGGAGATGGTTATAGAAATTAATAAAGTGGGTAATAATTAAGGATCTTTTTTGGTACAATATTTTAAAACTGCAGATAGTACATTTAAGATGTCCTTTTATGTTGTCTCATATTATCTA